ATAATTTCAGCAAATATACTAGATAGATATAAGTAGAAAATAATATAACGGCATGTCTTGCAAATATAACGACATATCTTGTGAAACACTGCTGAAGGTGAATCATATTTGATTCAAAACATACAGTTTTCATAAATTGTGTGTTAATTACTATATAATGCACTCCTTATTCAGAATAACTTTTATTCTATGACTATTATGTAACTGAGACATGCACATTTAGCTGGGTTATGCCTAGGTATTTATAAGCATATAAAGAATTGAGGATTGAAACTTGAGTAGATGCCAAGCTATAATATATTAATTTTGATACAAGAAACACTGCCACTGGAATCTGGCAATACACAACTATTAACTATTTGGCATTAGTTAATACAATAAACATAATTTAATATAAAGACTTGAGGAGTCAAATGTAAGCTTTGAATTAAACTAACGTTTTATATCATCGTTTTAAATATTGTCGCGGCAAATTCAAATTTTAAGCCGAAACATCAAGCACGTGCATTCTCAAAATTCAGGAATGACGATTGAAGTAGAAAATATTTCCTTTCAAAATTGCTCTATTATACATAAAACATAACAAGATTCTTAGCTGGATATTACTCTGTCATCCCTGATGTTTCATCTTCGCTTATTAAGGCTTCATCGGCTCGGCAAATTCAAATTTTAAGCCGAAACATCAAAGGTCATCAAACACGTGCATTCTCAAAATTCACGAATGAAGATAGCAAATATTTCCTTTCAAAATTGCTCTATTATACATAAAACATAACAAGATTCTTACCTGGATATTACTCAATCATCCCTGATCTTTCATCTTCTTTTATTCACGGTTAATAAGGCTTCATCGGCTCGAAATATCGAGCGAAATATTGTAACTTCGAAATCACGAACTGATTATAAAAAATGGCGGGGTGTAAATTCAGTGCTTCCACTTCCACTTTCAAAAAAATAATTTCCTTCCCAACTGCTCAAAATTTCCTTATTTTTGACAAAAATTACTTTGATGAAGATCAATTTTACCTAGTTTAAAACTGATATTACAATAATTTATCCTGAATGACGGTGTATTTCTCGGGTGAGACATAACATGAACCTTGCAATTATAAATTATAAATTAATTATAAAAAACTGCAACAGGAGGCTTGAGGTCATGTCTCAGAAATTTTTCAGATTTTCCATTCCCCAGGAGTAGGATTTGGATTTTTGACATTTCCTGACGCAAATTTGCTTGGGAATTGCTATAATCTTAGGATTTATTAGAAATAACATAATATCCTTATTTCCTTGCTGAAAACAAAATTCCTTGCCATTTCCTAGTAAATTTTATTTCTTTTTGCAAAGAAATGTCCTTGCAAGTGGAAGCACTGCATGGGATGACCAGTGTAGGCAACAGTTGAAGCCTCCCCCTTTTCTCACCCTCCGCCCCTCACCCCCCCTTTCATTATTAATTATTGGTCCCTTATCTGTGTAACTATAAAATACGGTTCTATTTTATTTCATTTTGCTAAGTAGGAAAATTCAGAATGTTTTAATTTAAATAGACTATTTTATACATATCTGCAAATTGTAATCCTGAATCCCGGTAAATGTAAAATAGGATTAAAATAGTGTATTTTATTATATTTTGCAAATTAGGGAAAGTAAATAGGTTTAAAATAGTATATTTTATCCCTACTTGAAAAATGTGGCAGTTTTAAAAATGTGCAATAGGTTTAAAACAGTCTATTTTATTCTGTTTTGCGTATTCTGAAAAATAAATAGCTTTAAAATACTATATTTTATATCTATTTTAATTTATGTAATATTCTGCACGTGCAAAATGTGTTTAAAATAGTCTATTTTATTGTTATTTTGCTAACTATGAAAGAAAGATAGGATTAAAATAGTATATTTTATTCCTGTTTGAAATTTGTGCATTTAACTTCCAATGTAAAATAGGATTTAAACAGCCTATTTTATTTTATGAGTTTAAAATAGCATATTTTATATCTATTTTAATTTCTAACTGCTTTCTGGTGAAGTAAAATAGAATTTAAATAGGCTATTTTAAACCCATTTTTTCCCTGAGGCTCTGGAAAATAGTATTAAAATATGCGATTTTATTTCTATTATCTATAAAAATAGGAATAAAATAAAATAAAACATTAATAAAATATGGCTCTTTCTTTTAGTGAAATATTATGATAGAATTAAAATAGGGTTGCCTCTGAATAAAATAGCATAAAAATAGGGATGATAGTAATAAAATAGTTTTAAAATAGCAATATAATATAGTTATTTTCGCAAGGGATGCTAAACCATCAAATGCTGTTGGTGAACAAGGGTATCAAGCATATCATATGTTTGACAAGGGTGTTAAGCTCACTGTAAATCAACGAGTGCAAGGCATGAACTGTGAACAAGTAAAGTTCAGAGATCTGTTGTTGCGACTTCGCAAAGGTGAGTCAACAATTGATGACTGGAAATTACTTTTGACACGGCAACCATCAAATATTACAAACCTATGTGACTTTGAAGATGCTACTAGACTCTTCTATAGTAATGAACAAGTTGCTAACTACAATCATGAGCAGCTAATAAAACTTGAGCATCCAATTGCTCATATCAATGCTCGTCATTCATCCGCATTGGCCAAAAAGATATCGCCCGATGATATGTCTGGGTTAGAACCTGTTGTGTTTCTAGCAAAGGGTGCTAGGGTTATGTTGACTATGAATTTGTGGTCAAGTGTTGGTCTCTGTAATGGGGCCACTGGGACAGTTGTTGATATTATCTATCAGAACAACCATCAACCACCAGATTTACCTGTTGCCATAATAGTAGAATTTGACAACTATAGAGGACCTGTATTTGATGATAACAAACCATCGTGTGTTCCAATATGTCCAATCACAGTTTCATCACAGACAGAAATTGGTTTCCATGAAAGGCAACAATTACCTCTAAGGCTTGCATGGGCTCTATCAATACACAAGAGTCAAGGCTTAACGCTTCCAAAAGTCTGGATAGATATTGGAAAGTCTGAAAGAACAGCTGGAGTTTCTTATGTTGCTATCAGTAGGGCAAAAACACTTGCATCTTGTGTCATTGAACCAATGACGTATGAAAGATTAACAAGCTTGAAATCATCAGCTAATTTACCATATAGGCTTGAAGAAGAAAACAGGCTCGATCAGTTTGCACAGACTACTGGCAATGCATTCACAACAACAAGCCACTGAGTTTGAATAAGAGAGAGGATTACAAATATAGATCCCAGTTATAATTTTATATGCACTGTAAGTATGCACCCCTTAAATAATTCAATTTATAAATAAACAAGTAATGTAAATATCACTATGTGTATCAAAATTTTATGGTGGCAAGACAAAAAAAAGGTAAGTTCTGTTTTTCGTTATCCCCCTTCTTTATATTCATACAGGTGTCAAGTTACATTATTGCTACATTGTTAGAGTAAATTTTTCATACATTCTTTTGGTTTTATAGTTTTGCAATTCTGACCCATGACCTGTGCCATCTGAACCTGCTGGCTATAAATAGAATAATTCTACTTCGAGAAAGATGGTTGTTATAAAGTAATTGAGATATATTACATCATGTGTCCGATGTAGTGGAGTACGGAACCTGAATTTGAATTTTGAATTTGAATTTTATTTGGTTTAGCACCACATTACATAAAGATTACAACACAACAAATATACAAAAAATTAGAAGTTTAACATGTTGATGACAAGGAAGCCCAAAACGAAACCACAAGGCTTATATAAATTTAGGCTCCCTTTAAATGTACACCATATATATAAAAAACACAATTAGGCCTAATAAATTATGAAATGCAGACGTGCTTCAGCTTGCAGACTAATATTTAACCTGCTGGATTAATGACACTGTATATATTATACTTCAAAGTTGATTTAAGAAAGAGGTCGACTTATGAGTTGGTTTACTTTATACTGTACATCATGTGCTGTACGTGACAATTAATTGGATATACAAGCAAAGAACTGCACTGTCCCAGAATGGAACAACTTGTCAGACCACATATGTAGTGCCAGCTCAGTAGAGAACTTGGGCTTCTTACTCCCACATGTACAGAACGTGGACATCTAGAATATGATAACCCACTGTTGACTGATGAAACTCACATCACTGACCATGCGCTGATATATATCCTCAACGGGAGTTTCTGTATGGCCAATTTTAAATGGATATGTTACAGTACATCTACAGTACATATTGGTAACACATCTGTATACCACCAAGTACTTGGAAATTCAGTACAGACTCTTATTATACTTGGAGAATCTGTGAACAACAAAGTAATTGTATCACAAGGATCTTAAAACACATATTGGTTTTTCGTAAATACTGTACTGTATCATGTATTTCATTATAGACACTTTGACAGCTTGCAAATAAGTACAGAATAATTTCTATTGACAATTTAACTTAATTAATAATATCATTAAAGTATTGGCACCAAGCATCATATATACAGTGGATGTACAGTCTACATATAAAAATGCAAACAAACAGTACTTATGTTGTAATTAGAATATTTTGAAACAAAATATATTCATACAGTACATACAGTGCAGTGTCTTCATCAAGTCAAATTTAAAAGTTCTAACAGAGTGTATCCCCAGAATTTAGCCCCCCAAATTTGATAATTATAAACTTACTGTGCATATACAGCCTTGTTCCCCGGAGCGGGAGAAACTTGCATATATACGTGTATTGAACACCTTCAATCATTTTCATTTTCAATATTTCTTCATGACAAGTAGCCTGCTCGCAGCCCGAAATTTTGTTCAAAAGAAAAAAGTTCATGTGCATTTCATAATACCTCACCCTAGTCTGTCACATTGTTTGTCTGTCTTTACAAGTGTCATGACCACAGAAGCACAAGGCTCTATGACAAATATTAACCCATTAAGCTGCAGAGCTTGCACATTGACAAGTAAAATTGTCTGGCGATACACAACTGGGGTATAAAAATTAAGGGCACTGGGATGCATTGCAGCTTAATAAGTTAACTAGAGACATTGTCAAATTTTTTGGTTAACTCATTAAGCTTCAAGAGCTTCCCCATTGACGAGTAAAATCATCTGGCATTAGACAAGTAAAAAAAATATGGCTCAATTGGGTTAAACAGTGATTACTAGCCACCATTAAAGTGCTCACCCTAGCTTAATCCAGTCATTGCTATGCTATGATTTGCTGATAATTTAACACACAGATACAGAATTTGAAAACCTCATTGTATTATGAAATAATTTAGTTCTAACAAAATCAATTGTCCTTGTTCTAGTCAAACTATTACACAAGAACCCATAAAAATGGACAGGAACTTCAATAATCAATATAAAGTTAACAGGAAGTTCAATAAACAGCTAATAATAAAGGTTGCTGACTTCAATAAACATTAACTCAACTAATAATAGGGAATATAATAGGGAAAGCCTAGTAAGTCAAATGTCTAAGTTGCTCACCACTTCAAGAAGTTTACCATCTGCAATGTTATATCTAATTTCAACATTGTCAATGTCAAGAAGGAAATCAGTGATGGTTTCTTCATCTTGCTCAGGCATGAGTTCCTCGTCATTTTCCTCCAGTAGTTTAATTAATTCTTGGTTGAAGGCAGTGAGGTAGAACTTTTCTTTTGTGTCTCTGTTTTGCAGATAAAGTCGAGCGTACCAACTTGTGCCTTCTGGAGATATTCTTTGTTTTAGTTTGCATGATTCACCCTTCACTGTTTTACCACTGCCTTCCATTTTTTTGCCACAAGCACTGCAAGTGTTGTACTTGGTTAGCTTTTTTACTCCAATTATCGACACAGTTGCTTGTTTTGTTGCAATATCGGCAATGCTTGGTTGAACATCAGGGAGCAGTTGTTGGAAAGGATCACACTCTTTTACCTCAAATCCATCTTTTGCAGTATTGACATACACGTCGTTTGTATAATTATTCTTCTTAACCCTAAAATTGGTGAACATATAGGTTTTCTCATTTTCCACAATGCCAACCCACTCTTCCCAAAACACAGCTTCTATTGTGCCTGTTGTATCTTGCAATATACAAGAGCATTTCTTCAGTGAGCCTTTATCCATGTTTACAATTTTGGTGCCTGATAGGTGCTTGACTGTTGCTTTCAAGGAAACAAGCTCGTGAGGTGATGTTGTTTTTATATTAGATATGGTTGACACTGCAGTTGATAAGGATTCTGCTCGGGCAAAATCTACTGGGTGGCTCACCTCGGTGACAGAAGTTGTGTTTTTTATGACAATGTTACGATATCTTTCATTGTATTCATATTTTGTTAATTTTACAGGACTTTTGTTTTCCATGGCTCTTCTTAATGGTTTCGTTTTCTCTGGCGAGAAGCAGATAGCTTTTGTTGTTGATTTATCTGCTGTCTGAAGTTCACATGTGGTGTAATTCATTTTTCCAGACTTTTGTACTGCAGTGACATTATGGACATAGCCTATAATCTCCCCAGCTAAAATTAAAAAGCATATATTACACATTCAAAATGAACAACATCCTACAATGCAAGTGTTGTTATGAATTGGGATGCATTTGCCTTCCACCATTCACCAAAACTAATGACTTTTTGTAAAACCCGATTACTGTTCTTTTTGTAACACTTGATCACACATGTACAGTGTTTCTAAATGGCACAATAACCTAACACCCAGTGGGTGGGAGAATTATGTTCTTTATTTTGTTGACAAATCTAATGCCCAAGTTTTCCTGGGCCTGGAGTGGGTTTCCAATGACAAGTGCATGTATTATAAGTACAATGTCAATGTTGCGACTTGACATTTATATTTACAAATATAATGAATATCATAGAAAATTATGACAGTTTGCGACAGTACTTACGTCTTGCAGTGTCCCTGTTATCCATTTTAAATATTGTACGTGTCTAGAGTGAAATAAAAGAAAGAAACTTTTTAATCCAAAGGCAGAATGTAAAAACAGGCCTAAAACAGCAATTATTCAATCCCCACACAATTTTGACCATCTGAATTTCTCTGCAGGTTCCTTGTATTTCCTATCGATTTTCTTGTCTTCAAAACCATGCTTTCAGCGTTATTTTTAATTTCAGAAAAATTATATGAGCTTTGATTTTGAACTACTAACCCAATCATTATTTGTATTACTGACTGTATTAACCCCGGCGTACCCTTGACACTAGCACTATTATTCATTTACTGTATTGTATCAAGCTATTTTAATATCTCAAATCAATCTGGAAATATGCACCTCAAATCTTAAATCAATGTGGAAACGGAAAAAATAAAACAGTGGCAGAACTTACCTATGTAAATTTATATTAACGAATGACAAGAGAATGACAACCAAGAGAATGACAACAAAGAATGACAACCAAGAGAATGACAAGAATGACAACCAAGAAGAATGACAACCAAGAGAATGACAACCAAGAGAATGACAACCTCGTACCCAGGGCCTTTGAAGAATGACAACCAAGAGAATGACAACCAAGAGAATGACAACCTCGTACCCAAGGCATTTGCGCGGTTCAGAGGCTCTGGTACGGGAAGCAAAGGCCCTGGTAAACACTGGTCATGTGACTCCAAAAATATTGGACATTTCGTAATAATTTAGTTTTCAATCCGGGGGGAGCGGAGACGATTGATTTTATCAAACATGGCAGCGCGAAGGCGCGATGTTTTCGAGTTTTCATATTATTATGATAAATAAAACTTTCCTAGTGAGATTTAAGAGTGGGTATACGTTATCTATGCATTCTGCGACGAAGATATATATTATCTATGCATTCTAAGGACGAAGATCAAACTAAGAGAAAACTAGTCGAGTGATCTATCTTTAAACTGTCTATTTTGTATCCAATGCAGCTGCTTGTGTGCGACGTTTTATAAAGAATTAAATAAGCATTGTTGATTATAAGTAATTTTTATGTATTGACCAAAGAATATCACTTGGGATTTTATTGTACTTTTATTGAAGGATAAATCAGAGGGGACATCTATGGAAACGAAATTCTTCATGTGTATTAAACATGTAGTTAATATCAAAGCAGAATATTTTGAAACAATTAACTGGTCGAGTGACAGGTTGGTTTCCGTATGTATGTAGTTTAAAATACAGTTGTGAATGAAATTATACACAGTATCTTGAAACCTTTGTGTGTGTGAGTTAATTTCATATTTATTTTTTGGGATGTATTATCTATATTTCTGTTTGTCTGGAAGGGGGGGGGGGTACCAATCCTGAATCATGAGAAATATTAAATATACAGTGATCTTGAAACAACAAATTTACTATGAATCTTATATCAGTGATATGTGACTTAGGAGTCTTAAAGGCAAATAACAGTCTGTATACTGGGTGTGCGTTCACCTATTTGTTTACATTTGCAGTTACTGTACATCGGTTCACGATTTATGAAATTTGAACCAAAGCTGTAACATAATATTAGTCACGGCACAAGTCACTATATATACAGAGTTTTATTTGTATTGAGGAGGTAGGGCTTCTAAGAGAGATACAGAGGCTTGATGAATATGGTTACACTGAATTTTATCAGTAAGTAAATTTCATTTTTTACATCCTGAAACCAAAAATCAACATATTATGCATGAATTACATATACATCACTTTCACTTGTCACACAGTGAACATACCAAATTCAAACAACATTCACACTGTTTCTAGATGAAATAATCAATCGATATTTTGGGCAAACAATATAATTCATGAGGGGAAAAAATAAATATTTATATGTGTGCACATAGTTTCAAGATAACGGGATTGAAACCATGCAGCTTTCCCAGTTATGCTTGGACTTTGGAGCTGATGAGAACAGTTAGTTTTGAACACAAAATGGCGTGTGATGAGACTTAATTCATCTAGGTGGCAATATATTGCCTTCTCACCAGCACAATTGATCAAGTACACATTCATTACTGCCAATCTCTATTATTTATGTCTCATTACAAATACAATATATTTTTTATCATTATCAGCAGTATCATTACAACTTGTGTATCACCAATATCATCACAACTTGTATTTCACTACCATCATCATCATTATTCT